ATGTCAACCTCTCACACCTCCTCATCGGAGCGTCTGTGCTCCTCCTCCTCACATGACCAAACCATCTAAGCCGCGCTTCCCGCATCTTTTCCTCAATTAGGGGCACACCCACCTTGTCGCGAATAACCTCATTTCTGATTCTATCTAACCTGTTGTTCCCGCACATCCATCTCAACATCCTCATCTTTGCTACATTCATCTTCTGGCATGAGCAATCTTTACTGGCCAACACTCAGCCCCATACAACATCGTTAGTCTGACCACCACTCTGTAGAACTTACCCTTAAGTTTTGGTGGCACCTTCTTGTCGCAAAAACACGGTAGAAAGTCTCCATTTCATCCATCCCGCCCCAATACGATGTGTTACATCTTCATCAATCTCCCCATCTCCCTGCATAATAGACCCAAGGTACTTAAAACTCCCACTCCTAGGGATGACCTGCGAGTCCAGCCTCACCTCCCCTTGAGTCTCGCCACTGAGCTTACACTCCAAGTAATCTGTTTTGGTCCTGCTCAACTTGAAACCTTTAGATTCCAGGGTCTGCCTTCATACCTCTAATTGCGCATTCACTCCATCTCGCGTCTCGTCAATCAATATAATATCATCTGCAAATATCATGCAGCACAGCACCTCCCCTTGATGTGGCACGTCAGTACGTCCATCACCAGACTGAGTGTCGACCCTTGATGCAACCCCATCATAATCGGAAAATGGTCCGAGTCGCCACCCATCGTCCTCACTCGGGTCTTTACTCCATTATACATGTCCTTAATCAACCTAACGTAGGCAACAGGTACATCTCTAGCCTCCAGACATCTCCACAAAACCTCCCTCGGAACTTTATCGTACGTCTTTTCTAAGTCGATGAACACCATATGCAAATCCTTCGTTCTCTCCCTATATTGCTCCATCAATCTCCTAACAAGGTGGATGACTTCTGTGGTCGAACGCCCCGGCATAAACCCAAATTGGTTCTCAGAAATAGACGCCCTCCTTCTCACCTTTCTGTTTTCTATTCACAGAAAATAGAAAACATTAAATTTTTCCTTAAGATTCAGAATAAATTGATGGGAAAATGACATTGTATGACCGCTCTCAAAATAATAGCCAAAAAATATATTTTTGTTGTATATATATATATATATATATATATATATACACACACACATACATACATACATATACACACACACACATTATGTATGTTATATACAAAAATTATATATTTTTTCGGTTACTAAATGTAAATAGTTTCTGGCACAAGTTAAAAGTGATAATACCGTAAAAACTAAAGGGATTTTTTCATTCCTATACACTATTTGAAACCTTATTACGAAAAATATCCATTTTTTGGTATTTACCCGACCTAAACATATTTTAGTTACAAAATATATACAATTCACCTTAAAAGGCTCCCAAATCCATTATTTGTGTCTTCAATCCAGGGATTTAGTTACACTCTTTTCATTTTTTTCTCCTCAACTCTTTCCTTATTTTTCTTCCGCCTTAATATACGGTAATCACTATTAAATTCATTAGGTGTATAAGTTACCAAATCACAATATTTTATTTCGGATGAACATAAAAATTTATGTAGAGGAAACCGAGGAAATTTAGTCGTTATTTATTCTTCAGTGTAGCAATTATTCTTTAGTGTACAAATAAGTTTAAAGCGTTCGCTCTGTTGAGTCAGGCGAGAAAAGGAACAAAATATCTTCAGATATTTGAAGAAGATTTTTTCAAAAAAAATATTCTTTTGCAAAAAGAGTTTTTTACAAAAAAAAAATTAGGAAATGATTCCAGAATTTTTTTAAAAATATTTAAAAACAAACACCGCATGAAGAAATGCAAGAGTTAGACCACACAATCATTTCCTAGATGTTCGCAAAATTTTCCTATCAAGATTAGTGTTGATTTTTAACCTCGTATTTTTATATTCCATCCCAATTATCCTTTATCTACAATTTTCATAAATTATTTCTACCCAGTTATATAAACTACAATATCATACCACTTAAAAATAATTTTTATACAAATTTTATACAATAGGTCTTTTGTATATTTTGTATCTGATTTATACATAGTAAAAATAAATCTCATACAACTAATTATATATTATCAACTTATCTACAACTTTCATAGATTATTTCTACCTAATTATATACAACTACAATATCATACAACTTAAATACAATTTTTATTTATCGTTCAATTTTCATACAATATTTAATTAAAAAATATATATATAAACAACAGAATATAATTTTTTTTTTTACAATTTTACTACAACTTTACTACAATTTCTTCAGTATAATGCATGTCATGTCGTCGTCGTCGTCGTCTTCTTCTTCTTCTTCTTCTTCTTCTTCTTCTTCTTCTTCTTCTTCTTCTTCTTCTTCTTCGACTTCGAGTTTCAATCTGAAATTCAGCCAAAATCAAGTCTAATCTTCACCAAAACAACCTTAAAACTGAGATATAAACTCCAAACCATATTCCCAATTATTTGCAACAACACCCAATCCAAACAAATAATGATTTTTGAAAACCCAAATTCGAATTCAAAGCTTCAAAGCTTTTTAATGGCCGTCAATGGTGGAATTGCTGCTCTCTTTTCCTTTGCTTTACATTACTGGAATTAGGGATTGAGAGATAGAGAGAGACCTAGAGAGAATTCCCAATTGTTTGCAACAACACCCAATTCAAACAAATAATATTTTTTTATAACCCAAATTCGAATTCAAAGCTTTTTAATGGATATCAATGGTGTAATTGCTACTCTCTTTTCCTTTGCTCTACATTAATGGAATTAGAGATTGAGAGATAGAGAGAGAAGTAGAGAGAGAAAGAGCGCAGTAGAGAGAGAGAGACGGAGAGAGAGAGAGAGAGAGAGAGAGAGAGCATGAGGGAGAGAGAATAAGGATGAGAAATAATTGATTCCTAATATAAAGGGATACTCATTTAATTCCTAAAGTGTATATAATTGATAATTTTGTATATAGGAGGTAATTAAATTGAAACTTGAGTAGGGAGGGTAATAAGGTTTCCAATAGTGTATAGGTATGAAAAATCCCAAAACACTAAATTGATAGACTATATGAAATGTTACAAAAGCCCATTGGTTGATAGGATTCTCCGAATTTAACAAGGGATTTTTTCCTTCATATACCATATATGAAACTTTATTACCAAATATGTGCATAGTATCTAAATTACCCGCCCAGTCTACATTTTTCCTACAATTTCTGTACCATTCGTTTATTAGGAATTAATAGGGCAGAATCTTCCCTTAATAACGTGCGAAAAATGAGGAAAGAATCTTGGGATTGATTTATTCTACATTAAATTCAAGTTTTGAAACGGAAAGGAGATTTCGCATCTGCGTAATTTACTCTTAAACTACAATTCAAAAATTTAACAAAAAAAAGAAGTACGAACAGCTTCAACAAACTACGAACAGCTTCAACAAACTGAATTTAAATTGTAGAATTCAAATCTTCGAGATTCAACAACTCAAAATTGCTATATTCTATTCTTCGTCGTTTTCAAAAATCAAATTGGCGATCATATATCTGTTCTTCATCTTTTTTTCTCTCAATCTAGAAATCCAAAAAAACGAAAAAATTTAGAATAATATGGGGGTTCGTGTGTATATGGAGACCAAAAAGGAGAATAAAAACTTAGGTTCATATCCGTTATATATAAGTGTACGAGATTTCAATATGGAATTGGCAATCACCAACGATAACACAAGTGCAGGTTTGTTTAGTTCGAAATTGCATAGAATTATGGTTTTACGTTATTATCTACAAAATTACTACATTTGCCTACAATTAAACTACAAATCAGTTTAATGAAAGAATAAAGCAATGTTGTTTTTAAAATTATCTACAAAGTTACTACATTTATACGACAAAATAAACTACAATCTATGATTAGAAATTGTTGATTTCAAAATGTCTGACATCCTAAATGGATGGGTACAGAATTTTCACTATATCTACAAATTATCTACAATTGAAATGGGAATTGGGATATTAAAATTCAATGTATCCAGTTTGTAGATATTTTGTAGATAAATTGTAGATTATTTGTATTCTGATTGTAGATGCATTTGTTTTGTGTTTTCACAAATCCAAAACGGCTAAAACTTCTACAAAATCTTCTGCAAAAAACAGTCTACAATTTATCTACAATTTATCTATAATTGTTCTACAATTTATCTACAATTTCTACAATATGTCGTCTTCTTCTTCTTCTTCTTCGAGTTTCAATCTGAATTTCAGTCAAAACCAAGTATGTCCAGAATATTTATGAAAAACAGGAAAATTAAACAAAACTTATTTTTCCTAACTCTTTTATACATTGATATTAATTGCAGGTCAAGATGATTCTGCTATAATTATGCAGAAGAGGAAATTGGGAAAGAAGGGAAAAAGTTATGCTTATAAAATTCGTGAGCATGATATGCGTCTATTTACATCTAGTTCATTCTTTTCCTTTTTCCTTCTTTAAGAAAACAATAAAAATATTTTCCTATTTTGATGTTTTGCAGTGAAATTGGGGCCAAAGTTTTCAGAAACAGTGAAGGGGAAGTTGAAAATAGTGAAAGAAGGAGGGAGAAGGAATATATTCAGGAATATGTATAATGTAAACGAAGGAGAGAATCTGCTAAAAGATACAGAAAAAAAAAAACGGCCCATTTTTGGTACCTTGAATTAAGGAGGGATATATGCTGCATTAATTGTACTCTTAAAATATACTATGGTATAGAATTGGTAATTTGGTATACTAAATGTAATTATATCAAACCTTAAACATTGAGGGTAATAAGGTTTCCTATATGGTATAGGAATGTAAAAATTCCATTTAACAAGTCCAAAGAATGGACACATAGCCGTTGGACCCAGTGTAGCAATGCGGCCCAAGATCGCCAGAATTGGGCGAGCTATTAGAGTACCCGAATCCGAATTGAGAGTCCAGTTTTAGGGCCAAGCTGCCAGATAGCTCTTTACAAATTTGACTCACTTAGCTGTCATTACATCTTGAATGTTTTGATTCAATTTTTCAATTTAGGATTTGGAAGAATCAGTTCCGTTGTTGCGGAAGCAGCATGCCAGAGAAACGACTTCTAGATTTCAAATATCAATGGTACGCTGAGGCTACATTTCAGGTTTTTAAATTTTATTGTTTTTTGGTGATTTTATTGCTTGTTTCCATGACAGTAAGAGAGCTAAACCATGGTAAATCTCTCTATTCACTATTTACCTTATGGAGAAAGCTACTTGATCATGTTGTCATATTCTAAATTGCCATTAGAATGATGATGTACTCAGCACTGTACTATTTGTTACTGTTCCCTTGGCAGATATAAGCACTAGCTATCTTACAATTTAGTCCTTCTTTGTTCCAAATTCCAATAACGATAAAGATGTTGATTATGAGATTACTTGTATGAACGCTCTTCCCAAAAAGTTATATATATATATATATATATATATATATATATATATATATATATATATATATATATATATATATATATATATAACCGGTCTTGTGAGCCCCTTTGGCGGACGTGTCCTTGTACAATAAAGTCAAGAGTATAGTTCATATGTTTTTAAATCATACGGCAATCAGTTTTTGTCAGTCGGAAATGAGATTCTCTAGTGCGGGAGAACTAATTTGTCCTAAAAAGATATTGTAATGAAAGAGGTCTAGATAAAGCGAAGTGTGTATTGGAGTTCTTAAGCAAACTCCAATAATTTGACATTGAGATGTAATTCTTGTTGTAATCAGTTCTACTCATCTTCTTTATTTTTACTTTTGATGGGGGGAAATTGCTTGAGTGTCTTATATGAAAATTAGTAGTAATACATTGTATTGGTTCAGACTCATTAAGAATTTTAATGTACCAGAGAATTGCCTTTGTTTACTAGTAAAACAAGAATACCTTGTTGAAATTAGCAAGTGCTTATTTGTAGAGTGTACAGTGTAAACACTCCATGCATCATTTGAAGCAGGTTGTAGCAGTTTTTGCTTATTTAGAAGGTAGTGACAGCTGTTGTTGTCCTTTGCGTTGGCATTGATGCTTTACAAGTTATATCAATATGGAAATTGTATGGCCCAACTAAATTGTCCTATGATTTGTTACAGAGCGTGACTATCTGGACTTGGTTCTTCCTGCTTAGAGTCTTCCAGAGCATTTGCAGTTATAGGTGCTGGAGTCTCTGTGCTCCTTAGCTTTGCAGCCAATGCTTATTCTGACAAGGCCAGAGAAGGCTTAGAGTTTTATAGTCATCCGTGGCCTCAGTAAGGCATTCTCAGTTCGGCCATGCTCCGTAAGTACATTGTGTTCTCCCATGTGATACCGTTTATTGGAGGCTGCTGTAGCATGCAATTTTCATATACTAAGACCTGGTTGAGCTTGTCCAGCAATGGGTTACTGAAATTAAAATAATGGGTTCTGTCTTTCAGCAATATTTCCATAGACCAACATATTTGCTTAAACTTAGTTGCTACGCATACCGCTTAACCTTTCCCAGTCAGCATATAGCGGAAATATCAGTCTTTTCTTTTAGGTGGATATGGAGCTTTGCAACTAGCAACTCTATGTCACCAATTTTTTAACGTGATATTGTAGGTGTGGTATACTATATACCCTAACGAACTGAGGAAGAAACTAAGGGCATGGCAGCTGATATTTGAGGTAATCGACGAGCCTAATGATGAGGGTGAGATGTATCGTTTGCTCTGAAAACAGAGTGATCGGCTTCCGCAGCCTTATGCTAATGAAGTGGCTGCCAGATTTGATAATGGAGGAGCCTATCCACCTGATCTGGGTCTTATCACTAAGGTAATCTTTACAAAGTTTGGCAAAAATTTAATCTGTGTTGCCTGATTCTCTTTACGTTTTCAGGCCCGACACAATGGTAAAAACTATGTTTCCACTCTTCCTAACTGGCTATAAAGACCGTCCTGCAGTCGTCTCAGTACTTTCTGCCCCTCATACTGTTCTATGTTTTTGGTGCCGTTCATTTCTTGATAATAGGGTAAGCTTTGCGCAGAAAAATATTGTGCATCTGATGTGGTAGTGAGTAGAGAAGATATTTGTAAGAGGGTTAATCCTTCTATTAGCACATAGGAAAAAGAGGCATATCTCTTTCATAAATTGTAGAAAGAAGACCTTCAATTCCTCTCTTAGTGAATTTTGGACCACATCGAGTGAGTTTCAGATGACCGAACAAATCCATAAGATAAGAAACTGGAGTCAAATTGCATATTTTGATAGATAATTAGAGAGTATCAGACTAGAAAAGCAATGTAGAATGTATGAATGACTGGCATGTTGCTAGCTAGTTTTTTTAACCGTATCTTAAGTATGTGTTACAATGATGTGTTTAGATTTATCTCCTGTCTGGGGCTTATTAAAATAGAGTTTAATTTGGAATTTGGATTCATCTGATTTAATATGAGCAACGAATGAGTAGATTCATGAAGGATGTTATTTCATTTCTTGAATTTGTAAGTACATGTAAAATATGACACCGAAGACTAAATGATGTAACCCTCTAATTGCTTTTGCAATATGAAAAAACAAACATCTCCGCCATAGTAACATTACATGAAATAAGAACTCATTCCCTCGCATAAGAAATGCGGTAATAAGAAAGAAAAGGAGAGGCTAACTAATAACCATTCAAGTTTATGTATTACTAGTAATTAATTGATCTCTGGAATTTATGGATGGCGAACTCCAACTAATCTCACATCATCAACCACAGGACCACACAATGAGCCAGAGTGATCGCTCTTCATGTGATAGTATGTGCTCAAGAACCTGACCCTGGTGTGCTCAGAAACTGCTTTGAACCGAAGCTTGGCTCGTTTGAATCCTCCATTACCTGTGGATTCATAGGGGACTCGCAAAGTGATCTGGCCGGCAAATGCCTCTATAAGCATTGACCCTTGGCAGGAATTGCTGGCATCTCCTACCGAGAACATGAGGTCATAGACCTTTCCTTTTGTAGTTATCACTACTTGTGCTATTGCACTTTCTCTACCGGCCACAAGTTCGATGGCACGCTTGCCCTCCGGCACGGTGAAGTGTGCAGCATCAATGTATTTTACTGCCTTGAGAGATTCAATCATCCATCCGGGCAATGGTGAGTGATCATCCTCAATATTTGGAGGAATTAGAACTCCCCAGCTTGTGTTGGGGATGATATATGGACCCTCTTCAAAGTTTCCGTTCTTCAACATGTTGCCTGCGTCCATTTTATGTATTAGAATCTGAAGTTTAACTTTTATACACCGATAGTATAAAAGATTTTTTTACCAGCTTAAAACACACGCAGAGAGAGGGAGAGGGGGATTACCTTTTGGTCTATGAGGGTTTTTCAAAGCCTTGAGAGCAATGAAATCAATGAGAGGGCCACAAGCTGGGTCCTTCTCAATTGCAGGATTGTGTAACATGATGTCAATTTCATTGGCTTGGGCCAAGAAACCCCACGAATAAGAGTCCCAACCATCACTGCTATACATGGTCTGCATTGGAAGCATTCCCCAGTCATTAGGCTCATTCGTAGGCGACACTGACACGTTGAGCTTCTCTTCTTGAGCACAGGTCCTAGCAAAGTTGAAGGACAAAGAGTAGAAAGTTCCCTTAGTGACGTTCGTGATTCTGGTTTTGATTGAGGCGTCTTCCCCAAGCCTAACAGCAAAAGCTCCTTCTGGCACTGGAAGTAGCATGTCACCTTGGGTTTGGCCTGATTTAATGTATTCTACATAACCTGATATTTCCCAGTGGGGTATTGCGTGAGGGTCTGTCACTTTTGTGCCCTTCAATTGTGATGGTTTTGGACCTTGCTCGAAGTTGCCATTAGGCAATAATCCTGATCAACCCCAAGATAGAAAAGTTACGTACGTCCATAGAGAGACAGATGAGGCATGAGTTCAATAGTCTAATCGAATCCAATATATTGGATATGGGACATAAACAGTGGCGTACGCAGGAATTTTTGTAAGCGGTATCATTATTTGAAGAAGTGAGCAAATAAATATATTACTGTAACGATATGCGATGTTATTTTTTATATTTTACCCAATATTTTAATTTTATTTATTATTTATACATATAGATTACAAAAAAAAAAAAAAAAATCGACGAAGTGGTGTCATCTACAACCTTGTATATATATATATATATATATATATATATATATATATATATATGAAAATGATCACTAAAATACTAATGTATATCAATTTCTGAGGTCATATTTCAAGAGTGTAATGTGTTCAATGATTTGAGCTTAAATCATAGATCAGACTTTAACACAAGTTATATTCTAAACATGCTTTTAACACAAGCAGACCTTCCTCGAAATTGAGAAGATCTATACGTTTACGTGGACTAGAACCTATTCTAAGGTTAAGGTATAATCTAAACAGCATGTCATGTTGGTTGTGATCAGATACTTCTTTTTTTTCAAATTTGCCGTCAGAGTGAAAACCCTAAGAGTATTTGTTATATTTCTAATGAATAAATTAATGTCAATATAGTTATTTTTATTGCTAATTAACGCTAAAAGATAAATTCTTTAATATGTGTGAAACAACCAAAAAAAATCAATTAAAGCGAACTGGAGGGAGTATTAGCTAGTCTTCAAAGAACCCCACCAATTAAATGCAATATGAACTTGAATGATACAGTCCCATGTATGTCCCAAATAAGAAGAGAAATATGTAAGATATTAAATACTATGTTTCAATTTTATATTTCTGGAAATTACATAATAAGTATTATAAACTATAATTATTAATAATTCAAAATATTTTTAAAATATCTTAATAAGTCACGGTAAAAAAAAATTTCTTTAACTCTGAATAATAATGGTATTAACATAAGTGAAACAAAGAGAGTAATAATTAACACGGCACTCAAGCTATTCCGATATTCCCAAATCCCAACCAGTTATTTTATTGCCCCAATTCCTCGTCATAAAGATCCATGTGCAGAAAGCTGAAACTTCATTCTGCATGAAATTAATACTCGTACGAAGATATAAGCATTAAATTGCCTTATAGCTGAGTAACTATGTGTACGTCGTAGGTCGGTCCATGAATATTTTCCTGAATTTATACCCCAGTACTTTTCCATCACCACCACTCCCAACAAATTAGAATAAAGTTTGATATTCCAGCGATTTTCATAGTATTCTTTTCTTCATCCTTTTTTACCATCTTCTTCCTCTTTAAATGTGTGTCTGTGTGAGATATTCAATCATAAATCTTCTATGAAATAGCTCTATAATGAAGAAAGAAAAGTTAACAGATATGACCCTAGCTAATTTTTATAAATAAATTATATTATAAGAACCAGATTTAGCAATAATTCGACAAATCAAATATTTCCAAATAAGGGTTTATGATCTTATCTTCTACGTATACATCTATTGTTCTCTGCTACAGCAAAGTCTGGCAAAGCAAATTAAAACTACAAATAGGCTAAAAGCAAGAAGATGCGGAATTTCAGGCAAGGAGTAAACTTTGCATTTCACACTATATACGTAATACGTTAACACGTAAAAAGAAATACACTATCATGTTTCTCAAACTATTCTTAATAAGTAAAGTTAGTAATTTGAGATATAATTAGATCAAAACTAATCTATGAATGTAATTTAGTTAAGTTACACTAATATAAGTTAAATTAAATCATATGCTGAATCATTTATACACTATTTCATGTATATTTCTCAGCAATGGAAGCAAAATGAGAAAACTTACCATCGTTTACAGATAAAACGACATTTATGGTGGCACAGAGCAGCACTATCAGTATTGCCGTTCTCATTTTCATAAATTCTGGTTTTTTTGGAAGAAAAAGAGAGAGAAATATGTTGGGATGAAAATTCATAAACGCCTCGACTGGCTTTTATGTATTTCTATTCTAGAAAATGCCCCTGAGATTGAATGAATTAACGGTATTGCCACCACCATATTGCTCGTTCGTAGCTGGAACAAGGAAGCAACAGGTTTGCACGTGCACTTCTCCTGCCGAAGAACAAAGATAAAAAAGAAAACAAAAACTAATTAATTAAATAGTACTACTAATCAATATCCTTAACAATCGCAAAATGTCGGAATATATAATGTCCTACTTATTTTATTTGAAGGTTTTCTAAGGAATTACAAAGGTATGAAGGTTTAATTCTGAATCACCTCTTAATAGTATTTCTATAGGTTTTCTTAAAATTCTTTAGTTTAAACTAAATGTTTACCTTAAAACTTGGATAACAATTAAACTTATAATGTGGTTTTAAGGATACGTGATTTCACCTAATACCAATTGATAAATGCAAAGAATAATAATAGAAATTAACAATAGTATAAGGCGAACCGGTGTTTGAACAGAGCCCTCGAGCTTGTTATGCAAGAATAATTAAAATGCAATAAAATGATAAACAGAGAGTGTAAATCAAAGAGAGAATATTGTATTGATTTGATATGCGTGAATGTAATAATATGGTTACAAAATGATTAGGATCCCCTTTATATAGTGGAGGAATCATATTTATGGTACAATTCTAATTACGGAAGTAAATCCCATGATTAACTAGATAACCCCTTGATTTGATCTGTTCCGAGATATACGCCATGATATTTGGCCAGTCACGGATATCTCGCCTTTCCGTTGTTGCGCTTGGCTCGAAGTCTGTCATATTTGGTCTCGATCGCTATTGGCCTCAATCTCGACAGGCACCTCCATTCTTTAGACTTAATATCTCGTCTTCGTGCTCCGGTCCGATCCATTACGAGGCTAACCCTCGATGCAGTTTTCTGGTCTTGATCAAATAGCACAATCGGGTAGGCCTGATTTTAACCGTATACAAATAGTCCCCTCGTTTCTTGGAATGTAATGAGAAAAAATGAATTGAGCCTTCGATTTTGTACCTCGATTTATCCTGACTCATCCTCGTGACGTAAGCGACGGGAGCGACTGAAACATCCAGTCGGTACAATTTCCAAAATCATTAATGAGTGTCAGTTAGCGATCGACCACCAGTGCCTTTGAACCGTCGCCGTGAATCCTTAAATAGGTTTTCTTCTCACTTCCTCAAACTTTACTCTGAATTTTTCTTGTACTAATCTTCAAAATCCCTTTGAGTTCTTTAAGTCTATCTGCAAATCTTCAAAGCTTTTTACATCTTTTAAGCCTTCCCGTTCTGCATGGTCTCTTAGGCTTTGTTACCAACCCTTCCTCAAAACACCAAACCTCATTCTCTTCTTCCTTCTTTCAACTTACAGATATGGCAAAAACATCTAAAATCGTTCCTCAAAAGGAAAAGCTTCTTCATCGCGGTCGGCCGGTGATAAAACGCTAGTGGATCCACGCCTTGAGGAGTGCGTTCCCGATGGGGGTGTGGTCTTACTTCCGACTTTAAATTCGAGAAAACTTCCTCTGTCCCTGGCCAGTGTGAGCTAATGTCGAGATACATGTGCTCGATAACTAAGAGCGGCCTTGAGCAGGTCAAGAAAGACTGCAATTGGGATAAGAAAGAGGTGGTGATCCCGATCCCTGAGGAAGATATCACTACCCACGTGAATGGGTTTCTAAGTGTATACACTTACCCTTTCACTAGGGGTGTTCATAAAAACCCGAAAAATCGAACCAAACCGACCAAAAAACCGATACTTTTTGGTTTGGTTTGGTTTTGGTTTTGAATTTTAAAAACCGATCAAATTTGGTTTGGTTTTGGTTTTAATCATAAAAAAACCGAAAAAACCGAACCAAACCGACTATAGGAGTAGTTATTTCAAATTTATTATTACACCCATATATATGTATATTTTTATACAAA